ATTATTAATATTATTAATGATATAGATATTACATAATGCAATAATACTATTTTTTATTATTATTAATATTAATATTATAAATGTAATAAAAGTAGAAAGCATTAAGTATTAAACAATTAAAACAAATAATTGAAACAATTAAAATAAATAGCAGTTTTATTATTAATATTATTAATGATATAGATATTACATAATGCAATAATACTATTTTTTATTATTATTAATATTAATATTATAAATGTAATAAAAGTAGAAAGCATTAAGTATTAAACAATTAAAACAAATAATTGAAACAATTAAAATAAATAGCAGTTTTATTATTAATATTATTAATGATATAGATATTACATAATGCAATAATACTATTTTTTATTATTATTAATATTAATATTATAAATGTAATAAAAGTAGAAAGCATTAAGTATTAAACAATTAAAACAAATAATTGAAACAATTAAAATAAATAGCAGTTTTATTATTAATATTATTAATGATATAGATATTACATAATGCAATAATACTATTTTTTATTATTATTAATATTAATATTATAAATGTAATAAAAGTAGAAAGCATTAAGTATTAAACAATTAAAACAAATAATTGAAACAATTAAAATAAATAGCAGTTTTATTGTTAATATTATTAATGATATAGATATTACATAATGCAATAATACTATTTTTTATTATTATTAATATTATAAATGCAATAACATTAGAAAGCATGAAATCTCCGGCGTTCTGAGCGTTAGAGATAGGCTGGAGCTTGTGTGTTTTGGAGTGTTGATGTCGATGTGAGCGTCTGACCTGCAGAGCCCTGAGCTCCTCCAGAGCCTCGCACACCTTCAGCGAGAGCTGCTTCCACGCCTGCGTTCAACACATCCACAACACAAGAGACATACTGTCAAACCAACGAAGACCCCAATAAGCATGGCTTATGAGAAACATTCATCACGCAATTTAATTTCACGCTAAATATAACGAACATTGCTTTGTTTCTGCACAACATGCTGAATGTCGATTCTAACCCCGTGATGCTTTTAAACCGAGCTGGTGTTTAATCAGTTTAACGGACATGCAATTAACATTTCAGCTGCTGGAGCCTCCAGATAAGATACAGCAACAATAACAACTCCAGTGGAGCTTATGAGGTTATGACTCTCTCAGCGCACGATCATTTATCACCTCGAGAGGATTCAGAGAAAGCGGTTAAGCACCGTTTCGTGTCTTACCGGTAATTGCCTCACGATCACGTTCTCCAGCCCCGACAGAATCTGCATGGCTGTGGCGAAGTTTCTCGTCTCGTAGCAGAACTTGCCAACGGCGAGAAAGCGAGCGAGTAAAGCCGTCTGTGCCTAAAAATACAACACAAACACAGTCAGGTATTACAACACACCCTACACTAGGAAAAGTAGAGATGTATAGAGTGTGCATTTATGTGCATATCAGAGAATTAAGGACAGAAATGTTCTTAATCGGCATGAAATTAATGTTACGATGCAAAAAACACTTAATGGTCCTAAATATATGTTCTTTATTCATGATATAAGTTTTTCCCCCAGGCATGTTCCTGCAAGGTTTTTGTTCACATTATGGGAGCAAAGTAGGTTGTGGTTTCAAAACATTTTTATTTTAGCTATTTTAATATAATTAATATATTATTACTATTATCATTTTTGTTGATATGTAATATTTGTTTTCTGTTTTCATTTTACTTTACATTTTAGATATATATTTAGATTTTTATATATATACACACACACACACACAGTCAAACCAAAAATGATTCAGAGACCAGATATAATTTTTTGATATTTTTTTACTAGTGGGTGCAGGACACTATGGTTCATAAATGTAAGTGAGGAGAGCAAAATAAAGTAAACTGTGACATATTACACCCAAAAATTCTTCATACAGTGGACTACCAGTAAAACTGATAAACATTTGGGACCAAAAATTACAGACTGAACACAATGAAGCACTGCTTGGTAATTGATTGAGCTGAATTGGTTTTATCTAATTGTGTTCTTAAATTTAACAGCTGACAGCTATTCAACCCAATTCATTACATACCTTTCTATCAAAGTTATCTGAGATTATCAAGATGAATTTGTTCTGACACAGTTTAACTCCGAGCTCTTGTCATATTTTATTACCATTTTCTAAACTATAGTGAATAAACTGTGATATCATTTGAGAAATGTTGAAGGTTTCTGAATAAATTTAGATTTTGGTTTGACTGTACACACACACACACACACACACACACACACACACACACACACACACACACACACACACACACACACACACACACACTCTCTCTCTCTCTCTCTCTCTCTCTCTCTCTCTCTCTCTCACACACACACACACACAC